CTTTAGAAGGAGATCTTTTTGTGGGGCCAATAGCAGAGGAACATCGTGGTCTTTTATCAATTCGTTATCCAATGGAACATGGAATTGTTACAGATTGGAATGATATGGAAAGAATTTGGTCTTACGTATATAGTAAAGACCAGTTAGCAACATTTAGTGAAGAACATCCAGTTTTGTTAACAGAAGCACCTCATAACCCAAGAAAAAATACAGAAAAGGCTGCAGAAATATTCTTTGATACATTTAATGTTCCAGCTTTATTTGTTTCAATGCAAGCTGTATTGAGTCTGTAGGTATTTCATTTGTAATGAATTTTATTTGTTGATTATTATGAATAATATGTTATAATAATATCACTAAATAATGAATAACATTATTGTTTAAATGTAATAGATACGCCACGGGACGAACAACAGGAGTTGTTTTAGATGCTGGGGATGGTGTTACACATGCAGTACCTATTTATGAAGGTTTTGCTATGCCTCATAGTATTATGAGGGTTGATATAGCAGGACGTGATGTCACAAGGCACCTTCGGCTTCTTCTACGTAAAGAGGGTATTAATTTCAGAACTACAGCAGAATTTGAAATTGTTAGAACAATTAAAGAGCGAGTATGCTATCTTGCTCATAATCCTCTGAAAGAAGAAACTATTGAAACAGAAAAACACCAGTATATGTTGCCTGATGGAAGTTATTTGGAGGTAAAATGATATGTTGCTTCTTTAAAGTTAATTGTTAATTGTGAATATCATTTAGTTATAACAATTTATTTAAATAATTGAATTGCAAATAATGAAAATTGTTTTATGTCATGTGATGGATGCAGAGTATGGTATTTATTTACAATAGATTGGTGCAGCTCGGTTTAGAGCTCCTGAAGTGCTCTTTAGACCAGACTTAATTGGAGAAGAATGTGAAGGACTTCATGAAGTACTAACATACTCCATTCAAAAATCTGATTTAGACTTAAGAAAGGTATTATTCCAGAACATTGTTCTATCAGGAGGATCAACATTATTCAGTGTAAGTATACAAATTAAAGAAGTTTTGTTATATTAGTATATATTAAATTAAACGTGAAAAGTATTAAATATATATATGTTTGTATGTTTTACATCTTAGGGATTTGGTGATAGGTTATTATCCGAAATTCGTAGAATGGCTCCGAAAGATACAAAAATTAGGGTATGTATCTCGTATGATAAATATAATTTTTTAATAAAACTTTTTGCTAAGAGTATTTCAAATGTAACATATAGATATCGGCTCCTCAAGAACGATTATACAGTACTTGGATTGGGGGATCTATTTTGGCTTCATTAGACACATTCAGGAAGATGTGGGTTCGTAAAAGAGAATATGAAGAAGAAGGTACAAGAGCAATTCATCGTAAAACATTTTGAATTTAATTTAGGCCGATTTAAGATGTTATGTCAAATAATTTAAGTACAACACATAAATAATGGCACACTCGGCACAAAAATTGATACGTACCGTGTTTATCGTGCTCTTTGAATGCTTTTAATATCGCAATTTTTTAAAACTGCTTTAATTTTTTTTTTTAAGTAAAAATATATTCCAAGGGATCATCAAATATGAGTATTTAACGAATTAAAGGAATACATAGTAGAAAAAAAACAATGTAATACTATTTATTTCGGTAGTTTATGTAAAAATTTTAATATGCACATATTTATTTAGTCAGTTTTAAA